TGGTTTGCCCATTGCTAGCGGACGTAGTCAGCCCATGCAGGAGGAAAGGCTTTCGAAACCGTTGACAGCTCCCAGAAATCCTTGTGCTGCAGGCTCTGCGGACGAATCCCTTAAAACCCTAAACTCCTACTGGAATCCTCGCCAAGGTTTGTCCGAGAGCGAGTGCTGAAACCCCAAACCCTCTGCCTTACCTTTGGTTAGTAGGGAATGGAAGAATGGTAGTAATAGTAGTTATAATTGCACCCCATTCCTTCATTCCCTACTAACCAAAGGTAAGCTGCAGGTTGCTCACCGCATCGAGTATGTCCTTCTGCTCCGCCTCTCGCTACAGCCTCAAGACGCCGAAGAAGGCCCGGTCGTGCTCCTCTCATTACTGATTGGTAGGTTTTTTCTCGTAGTATGAGGGCCACGCCTAAGAATGTATGTCGCGGGGGGGGGGTACAGCATTTGAAGAAATACATTTCTCTGGCCCGGGCCAGATAATTCGATTTCGAGGGGGGGCTGATATACATTTCTGCCGGTTGCCAGGCATGCTGTACTGAAGCCCTAATGCAGCACAAAGCAAAGTGTGTGTGTGTGTGTGTGTAAAGTGTCAGAACCCTTCACAAGTCCGTCACATGTTGTCATGAAGCAAGATTTCTGATTTGTTCCAGATGGGTTAGTCCCACCACTGCCCGGTTCATTCACCGAGAGCCGGGCACACGTAATGTATATTTGGGGGGGTCTGGCTACCAATCCCCCTATTTATATACATTTCAGCCCTGGCTCACTCCCGGGAATGCATAAGGACACCACGAGGATGCTCGCAACAAACACTGAACAAACAGAATACCTCAGAATACTCATAGACGGCTACTGCAGCAAGACTACTGCCCGGCGCATCCACCGAGAACCGGACACACGTAATGTATATTTGGGGGGGTCTGGCTACCAATCCTCCTGTTTTTATACATTTCAGCCTTGGCTGACTCCCAGGAGTACACGAGCATTCCCTGACAACCCTCCACGACCCCTAGGCATGATCTAGGCACGGCGGCCATCCACCGTACAGCGCCGGAGCTGCTGGGTACTGCTGCCAAGTAGCTAGCTGGCAGCTCCTAATGGCTTGGGATGGCTTTGGGGCCACTGACAAACACAGTGCGAAGACAGAGCGGCGCCAACCGGGGTGGAAAGAATGTCGATTGAGTGTCGAGTGCATGAGCAGTGCATGTGAAGCCAGTGTGAAGTTGTGAGAACCTCGAAAACTGTCGCAAACGAGAACCCTGCCAACCCCCTAATATTATACATTCCCCCCGGCCGGTTAAAGTATATTCGAGGGGGGGCCTGTCAAAACCGTTTGGGTGAGGGGGTGTAGTATGAGAACAAAATATATCATGCAGGGTGTTACGGCTACTCATACGCACAAGCCACCGCTAGTATCCAGAATATTTTGAACGATACTATGATGATATCCATGGCGGCCGAAGCAATATAGGGCTTTAGGGTTTGGGGTGTTCGTGTCATTGAAATTGGTTTCGTTGACCGTGTTAATCGATTTTGCGATTGTTCTTAAAGTGTTTGAGTTAGATATTATTGGACTTTTCGGTGTTGATGTTTGGGGCGTTTCAACGTGCTGGTCTTGTTGTCCTGAGGATGCTGCTACAAAGGTATCATCATATGGTATCGGGCAGGCTAGGAATGTCGAGAAGGCGAAGTAGCTCATTCGATATTTGTCAAGCTGTGCACGGCCTGTGTTTCGTCTTGACACCGTCGGGTTTGTTCCTGAAGTTCTTTGTGCTACAGGTAGAGTATAGGGTTTAGTCATTGGGCCACAGGGTTTAGCTTTTGGATGAAAGTCCTGATTTACTATATACTTCTACTGTAGCGTATGCCAAGGTGGTTAATAGAAGCCTGAGTGCTAAGACAACCTGTTCCTAAGAGCTGCTAAACTTCTGCATCATCACAACATGCCCGAAAGCCCTATTGTGTTCATTCAGGCCCTTGTGCTACCTGACCCCGCAACCCGAAGCATATTTCGCCACGACACGCCACGACACTTTCTTCCCAAGGGGATCAAATCTGTTTGCCTGCCGCAGACAGGTCACGCACAGCGAGCAGTTTCGATCCGAGGGCAATGAGGAAGAGGCCCCCTTTGAAGGGTTGCAGGGTTCAGGGAAGTTGAGGCTTTCTAAGGTATTCAGCGGTTGAGTTTGCTTAAGGCTTCCCGGAGACATGCACTTTATGGCCAAAGTTTCTGCGTCTCAGCAGCTCTTCTGCGGTATTCGCAGTGGCGGAACCGAGGAATTTGCATCCTGCTGCGTGGTCAATGTGTCTTATGCTGACAAACTCTTGCTTTCCGTCACACAAAACGCAGCATGCTGCCAAATTTCGCCTTTCCCCATGCACCAGTGCGTAACGATGTTTGTACGTGTACACACAAATGCATATAGCTATACATGCATTTACATAGGTATGCAGGTGAAAAAGCCGACAGATAGAGATACCAACATGTGCACGCACATACATACATCTTTCCAGTCACCAAAGCTTTGACATGTGTTGCAAGTTGCTGCTGTTTGTGTTTATGCTGTGCCTGCAATATTGGCTTGCTTGTCCTTTCAAGGAAAATGTTTTATCATCTCAATATTGTTCTGCTAGGTGGTGCGACAGCCACGCTTATATGAGCCCATAAATCAATGGACGAATGATCAACATATGCATGTATCTATATATATATATACATAATACATATATATGTATATATGTAGACACACATATAAATGTTAAAGTTGATGCAAGTATTTCTTTGGCCATGTGTAGATACATTCACACACACATATGTGTGTGTGCGCTTTATGTATACATATGCGCACCCAGAGATGCATACACATACGGGCACATTAGTTGCACATGCATGTTGCTGGTCTAGATGTCTCTAGGATTGAGCCCGGTAAGGGCTCCACAAATAGCTGAATAGTAATCGTAAGCACCCCAGCGGAGTCAAGACCACCACAAAGGCGGCAATAACAGCACTTGCAGCAAATCTGTTGTTCTCTAATTTCCGTATATTTACACCTGCGACCACTGTTGCTTCCACTGTTGCTGCTGCATTTCTACCACTGCTGCTGCTACTACCGCTACGACTACTACTACCACGATTGCTGCTGCTGCTACTCCTACTCGGCTTCCTGCTCCTACTACTACTACGACTACAACTACAACTACAACAACAACTACTACTACTACTACGACTACGACTACGAGTACGACGACAAGTACTAGCACGAGTACTAGTACTACTGTGGATGGAGGAAATCCTGCACTGCTTTTAAGATATGTTATGTAGCTTCACCCCACGCCCCCCTCTTAACATTGCTATGAACACGGGGTTTCACTGAATCGTTCCGATGACACAAATCTGGCACCGCCCCAAGAGATCTGTCGTCAATGTTAACATGGGAGTGCGGGGTTGTCGCTTGGATGTGTACCTGAAACAGTGGATGTAGGTGGTTCAAGATTTTCTCCATCCAGCGTAGTACCAGTACCACTACTACTACTACTACTACTACTGCTACTACTATAGTACTAGTACTAGTACTAGTACTAGTACTAGTGCTACATCTACGAGTACGACTTCTCGCACTTTCTGCGCGTGTATCCAGCATTACTGTTAGCGTGGCGATTTCCTCCCTACTACCACCAACATTACTACCGCTGGTACTGCTGTTTCCCGAAACATCGTGCCTGCCACTGCGTGTTTGTCAAACTCGGCCTGCAAGTTCTACCTGTACTTCCATTACTAGCTTGCTTAGTGTTCATGTCTGTGGCAGAAGACAACCAGTTTATCTGATGTCGGTGGTGTTGATACGTACCAAAGGCGCTCCCACACTGGTCCGCACCTTTACCGCGTCCTAGATTGGTCACGCTTTGAATCTGCGGCATGTATCTGCACCTGGCTGTAGGCATTTTCGCATTGGTAGCTGCTTGGTGCGTCCCATCAAAGAGTTTGCTCATTGTTCAAGTCTTCGTAAACGGGCCGACCTGATTACAGACAGATGAGACGATCACTTGATTGGGCAGGGCCTATCAACAGATGGTTGATGTTTTTTATCATAGCTGAGTTTCTGGCCGTTGTGAGACGAGCCAGAACTCCATCTCATCAACTAAGCATGTTCTAGGAAGGGCCGTCCGGTCCCCCTGCAAGGTAACGCACAGTGTGCATTTCCGGACTGACGCAGAGGAGGCTGCCTGCCGGAGATCTGAACAAAGCTTTGTGATTGTGGCCCCTTGTAGGAGAGGCCCCTTATAGTCCACACATTTTCATCTAGAATGTGCCTCTAACTCTTTTGGAATTGTTAAGGCCCTTTTAGTAGGCTGGAGTTTGTTCCGCACTAGCGCATGAGGAGTTGTCCATGAACAGACATCAACTTGCCATGCGGTCTCAGCTTAAATCAGTGGGTCAAGCATGTCAGTGCCGGAAGCCACTGGAAGGAACGCGACCAGGAGCAAGAAGAGTGAATGCCTGTCGCACGCTCGGAAGAATCATGTAGGGGCCTTAATCATTACTTATACTATTCTGGGTGCTCGTTATGATAAGTATAGTATACTGGGCCCCAAAACACTCTTCTAATTATTAAGGTCCCTGTATCAGCTGAACTTAACCTGACACCCTGTGCGCCTGGCTTCTTTCTTTTTGCAGCACATTGGCGACCTGAAGCTCGCAGCTCCCAATACATACGTTGGGGTTTAGGGCTTTTCTTCGGTCCTCGTCCGTGACCGGTCAATGCAATTATGGCTCAAGTACGGGACAGCAGGAACAGCGCGGGGGAGGAGTGACACCGTGGTGCGCCTCAAGGTGACAATCGAAGGCGGGTGGCAGTTCAGGAAATCGGTCTTTCTTCAAGCAAGTACTTAAAAATTCGGCCCATGGTGTGCGGATGCTTGAGGACTTTAAGGCTTGGGGTCTATGGGATCGCCTTGCACTTCCAGCCCCTGTCATGTCCCCGAAGGTCTGCTGCGAGATGACGCACGGTTTCGACTTCGGTGGAGGCCATCACTGCCACCAGCACCACGCCGTCCACACCCACCATCACCATACGACGCACCATCACACTACACACCACAGCACAACTACACACCACAGCGCAACTCATCATCGGTGGCGAGATCACACTGTCCAGTATCACCACCAACGTGGTCATGGTGTGGTCCACCACCGACACCATCGACATCACAACCTTCCCTGGGAGTCCTTGGCATTACAGAAAGTCTTTGGTCACGTTTATAACCACAGGCTTTCCTGCAGCTCCCTTTGTGCGAGAGGCCATTTGCTGCGTGCTTCAGGCGGTCGCAAAACTGTTACCGGCTAAATGTGCATACGCGTAAAAATGCGTATGAGTACATGTGTGGTTGCATGTATGCATGTATGGAAATGTATGTACTGTAATGATGTATCAATGTAATGTCATGTAGTGAACTGAAACGAAATGTAACATCATGTGATGTAACGTATGGGTGCATGCATCCATGTATGTCTGTTTGTATCTGTGTGTCTGTGTATGCATGCATGCACGCATGGATGCATAGATGGATATGTTCTATACAAGTACATACATACGTACGTACATCTTCATCAGGCCAATGCGGATCCCGAATGATCATAAAGCACATCCATGACGTCCTGAATCCCGCCAGTGTTTGGTGGAAAGTGTTTTGCTCCCGACTCCTGCCAGTACTCGGGGGAAGCAATGTGACCTTGTTCATGAATCCCTGCAAAACTTGGGAATTGTGGCTTCTGCATATGGCCTCTCCTGGTGGTCTCCGTGGTCTCCCGTGGTTTGTTGGTGGCTTCTTTTGGCGGTCTCCTTGTGGCTTACTCAGTCTACTCGCTGTCTTAGTTTTCGTTTGCACGGTCCTGGTAACTGCAACTCCAACATGCTTTCCCGGACAATCAAAAGGTTTTTCCAGAAAGTACTGGCACGATTGAATGTGGAGGCACATGTATTGCAGTTTGATTAACGAATCTGGCTCTTCAGGGAGAGAGAGAGAGAGAGAGAGAGAGAGAGAGAGAGACAGAGACAGAGAGACAGAGAGAGAGAGAGAGAGAGAGAGAGGAGATTCAGTCCGCTAGCATGTCACTCTCAGCAGAGGACTCGCCGATTGCATACTTTCCGGGTCCTTTGGCGCCTGCTTCGCGTGCACCAGTGCCAAAGGGCATGCTGCGACCCAAACAGCAGGAGGTCGCACCCTGGCCCGAACCCAGCAGTTGTGGTCCTTTTCGTTTGCCTGGGCTCTGATATTTAGGGCTCTCTGGTTGCAGAACAGGTTGTGGTTGGTGGTGGCTCTTCTCCTGATCTTCACGGCGCGAGCATCTGGCTGCCAAGACTAGGTACGGTGCACACAGTCGCAGCTCCGTTCAGGGTTTTCGTGCACGTACCAGCAGTCGAACAATCTACCCGCACACATTTGCCGTGGACTACGAGAAGCGGCTCTTGTTTCTCGCAGTGCAGACAGTCGTGGCAGGCCTTCATGCCTACGACAAGGTCGTGTATTTCGAAGTGGTCGTTACTCCCAAAAACGGTGCCCCATGGCAAGTGCTGCGCACCCCGGCTCTGAACATGTAGGGGGATGCGCTACAGCTCGTCGATTTTGAGGGACTTGTCTCCTGGTCACATCGCTTCCTGACTTTGGTCGCTGCATTTAGAAGTCCGTGCATGAAATAACCATCAACACGCCGGAATTAGCCACACTCGTCGCACTGACCTTTTGCACGCTTTGTCCGGGTCTGCTGACACTGCTCATTTAGGGGCCTGAGTAATTAGTCATTCATAGAATCTTCTTATGTAGTCCATACATAAGCATTAGTATGCGATACATCCTAATCATAGTTGCAAGTTACAGCGGCTCCTACGGTAACTTGTGGACCCTTCGATGCTCAGGCAGGTATCAATCCTTCAGGGACAAGTCCCGAAGGCCCATTCCACTATCAGGGTTCTATTATGAGCAATGAATCGGCTAATTTACACCGAAATTCGAGCCCTAAGCCGCATCTGGGGCTTTTTCGGGGAGGCAACCGTATCTGGGCCTTCGCCTTCAGGGTTGGCTTTCGTTTCTCTGGAGTGATGCTTGGGCCGTACCTGCTCAGCTCGCCCAGGTCGCTACAACCACTTCCGGGCATTGGCCAGAGGCTCAGATCATTACTCCTCGCTGCTGCGGCTATGACGACTACAACTACAACGATGACAACTGCAACTACTACTACTGCTGCTACTACTACTACGACGACTACTACTGCTACTACTACTACTACGACGACTACTACTACCAGCACTACTACTACTACTACCGCAACGCATCAAAATCTCCAGATGCCGAGGTCAAGGATCCTGCCATCTCCGCCGCAACTCGTCTTCAAGGGTTCGGGTTCGCATTTCATAGGGTTTAGGGTTCACCGGGTTTGGAGTTCAGATCTTTAGGGTTTGAGGGGGGTGCACGTGCGGAAGTGGGTGAACATGAACAGCTGAGTATTGGGCGGCGGCGAAAGCCCGATGAAAAATTGAAAAAGGCCGGAGAGGGTTCACGGTCAGGCTTCGCCCAAAGACGGATGTGTCGCTGGCCGGTTGGCGCTGTGCTCGTGAGACTCCATCTTAAGAGTTTGAGTCGCAAGGGTTGCGAGCACCAGGCCGGCAGACTTGGGAGCTTGTAGCCACCCATAGGCCCCAAAGTAGTTCCTTTTTGGGACTACGCCTTATAGGGTTCTATATATGAACCCCAAAAAGGAACTACTATGGAGCCGCTAGGTAACGGTGCATTGCACACCACAGCTTTTTTCCTGACGGGAGGCATTGTTTCAGCTGCCCAGGATCGAAGAAACCTCGATTTCACAGTTGTCCACTTTCAGAAATCCAAAGACAAAGACGCACAGAGAGAGAGAGAGAGAGCCAAAGAAGGCTGGAGGCACTTCGACTTACTTTCTTTTCGGTGAAAGCAGCACCTACTCCCCACAAAGGACCAAAGATTCATGAGCCACTTTCTGCTCCCCAGTCCTCCAGCCGCAACGCCATAGCCTTCCCTTTGGTTAGTAGGGGATGGAAGAATGGTAGTAATAGTAGTTATAGTTGTACCCCATTCCTCCATTCGCTACTAACCGAAGGTAAGTAGCACCACAGGCCATGAACCTCACCGTCCATCCACCGGGATGCCCGGTAGTGACCTGCGTACTTTGAGTATCTATCTAAACCACCCCCAGCGATTTTTCCGGGTTCCTCAGTTGTTATAGGTTATCGGCATACGATCGTATACCCCCAAATCCTCATCCGAATTCGTGCTAAAGCCGCTACATCAGGGTTGTTGGCTGACTGTTTGGTCCCTCTCCGAGGTCTTCGCCGGTGCAACTAGAAGCTTTCCGCCAAAGATTTGGCACACGCCACGCAGTGAAGAGCTCCAGGCTTGACCTCATGTCATGCTCACGTCGCCCTGGTCTTCTGTCCAAATGCTCACTCTCATCACTCTAGTCACATGGAGCTTACGGCCTTTCATTCTACAGGATGACTTGGCAAAAACTATGAGAGCTATCCCAAGACAAGACAACGATTTGGTGCTGTTGATGGGTGGTTGATGAGAGGTGATGGCTGCACTTTTGTAATGGTGACACTGTGATAACGGTGATGATGATCCTGACGTTGATGATTCTGAGGATGAGGAGGAGGAGGTAGTGCTGCTATGTGCTGCAATGCCGGTGATGGTGCTGGTGCTGCTGGTGCTGCTGCTGGTGCTGCTGCTGCTGCTGGTGCTGCTGCTGCTGCTGCTGCTGCTGCCGCTGCTGCTGCTGCTGCGGCGTCTGCTACTACTGCTGAGGCGGCTTTGGCGCTGGTGGCTACTGCTGCTGCTGGCAAACGAGTGCTTACAATGAGCATGACAACAACATGATTAAATTTCTGCGGTTGTGGTTGCTGGCGATCCTCAGCATCATCACCGTCATTGCTAGGATTTGTGTTGTTTTGACTTACATGATGACACCGTGGCTCTGGACCCTTTACAGGAGCGCCGGTCTCGCTTAGAAGAGTGGCTGAAGGCGGCTTTGATCCAGGCTCCCGCGTGCAATGTAGTAACATTTTTCCGTCGGGAGTTTGGAACCCAGCGCTTCGTGTGCTGCGAGTATCCCAAAGGACCCATGTACCATCATGTACCCAAATAGTATATACATTGGCCCCAAAGTACCGATAGGGACAACTTTAAGGCCGCAGTATATACTGTTTAGGTACATGGATCCTGAGGGTATGGGAGCTTCGTATGATGTTGCCCCGTGTTTGTCATGCTTTCTGGGATCAGAGTTCTTCGAGCGATTGAGTCTTGGACGGTAGGATCTGCTGCTTCTGTCGGGTGCACTTCAAAGTCATGTCAAGTATCGGTTCTGTCAGACTCGAGAATAGCATTATATCGAATCCCAGAAAGTTGGAACACGGGTTTATGAGGATTAGTGCTAGGATCCCTTATGCTTTACCTTAAGGGCATGAGGATACTCGTGTTCCAACTTTCAGGCTTCTACCATATGTGGGTGTGTTCGTCAAGTTTGTACTTCTGGCACGGAGTGCCATGACTGCTCGCTGGCCTATGCACAGGGCAGGGGTTGTGGGCTCATCAGCGATGTCGTTTAAGAGCGTTTCAACTGGTTCGGTTCTTGCTTTGCGGATGGTACCTCGCCAGCATTAAAAGATGGTGTAGGTTGCATCTTGAAAGGTAGATGTACTCGTACATCAGCGTTTGTCTTTCTATGGCGATATTCACGTGGGCAAACTGTCGCGTCAACTCATACCACACTATGAAATGCACCCTGTCAAATCACATGATCAGCAACCAGTCCGGACCTGTTGCCACCACGGTAGAAGTTTGCCGAAATGAGCGAGTCTATACTCTTCTCTTTCTGTGTGTGGAGGAGCCTTCAAGCCAAGTAACATCTGCGATCCCGGATGAGCCAACCTCCAGTCAGGCAAGCTCTTATGGGGAGCTGCCCGTGGCCCTCCGGAAGTTCTTGCTGCCCTTTGGCCTATTAGTTTCAACGTCGCAGCGCATGACTTGAGCATGGCCAGCTTCCAACAGCCTTCACAAAAAACACACACTGACACTAGCGACTGCCCCTCCCTGGCCCTCCTTTCGACCTAGACACCGAAAGTTCGTCGAACCGCGTGTGGTCACAAGTCACAAGTGAAAGCTCTCACCGACGCTTCGGCGATGCACCTGTCCAGGCCTACCAGCGCACACTCACACCCGAGACCATGATTAAACTCTGCACCCTTCGAGCCAACATTGATACAGGAAGGCCCCGATGGCTCAGGGAACTTGCATCTCGTCTCGAGTTCCGTTGAAGCGCACAGTGTCCGCACCTGGCAGGTGGCGTACTCTGACGGTAAGCAGCATGGAGGCTTCAAGCATCAAGATGGGAAGCACGCAGTACCTCAATAGGTTGAACATCTCTGTGTACAGTACAACTGTAGACAGAGAGACAGACAGACAGGAAGAGAAGCAGACCGGCGGACAGGCAGACAGGTAGGTAGATAGAAGTATAAATGGGTGTATTTATGTCGCCGTGCCGTATGCTCTGTTTGGGCCACTCTGTTTTTATCCAGAGTCTCCGGCTCAGGGCACTCGCAATTGCTCTCGAGCACGGATGGCAGAAGCTTCGAACATGCGGATAAGGAAGTCATTCAGGATTCAGAGTGTTGTGCAACTGAGAAGAGACCATGAAGAAGTTTACAAGGACGAAAGAAAAGATATGCGTGTAGGAACAATCTGTAGACTCTAGACTCACAAACTTCAAGTTCTCGCGCGTCATGTCAGCAGCCCATACAAGTATCACGAAATTCACACCGTCGACTTCCGTCCGCCCAACTCTCCCGAGTGTGGCCGCGGAAACCCTTAACCCGAAACGTCCGGCTCGACAACGAGTTTGGCATTTGCGAAGGCTCCCTAGCAAAGGACATAGGCATGAGAAGAGCCGTTCGTTTCCAAGATCCAAGCGACTTACAAAGCCTAGAGCACAACACGCTGGACCTTAAACCCTCGAGCCCTAAACATGTTTAACAAACTTTTAGTCGAGTCGAGTCCTTCCTGCCTACGCTCCCACTTAGCATCGTCCCACTCAACAGACTCCGAACCATATGCCTCGCCTGCATTGTCCGAGTGTGAGCGCTGAGACATGTTTAACTTCATTCCAAGCCCTCAGCTGTCTTTAGATAACTTCAACCATAAGCCCTTAAACCCCTAAGCTCATCGGCGCCTTTCTTTCTGAAGCTTCAAGGCTAGGGCGGACTCCGAAGTTGCAAGCCGGGAGCTCGGCCGTGTATGCAGGAGTTCAGGGTTCGCTGTTGAGGCATTCTGGATCAAGGGGTTCAAGGTTTTTCATGTTACATTTAGAAGTTTTGGATGACCACGGTCTCAGGGTTTGGGATTTTAGGAGTGTATAATAAAGTTGAGCAAGAAGTCATGCCTGATGACTGACGCGGCAAGCTTGAAGCTCAGCTTTGAGCCTTCATCGGTCCGCAGCAGAAGGCTGGATACAAAAAAGCATAATCAAGTGTAGGTCGGTGGATTTCTCCCCTAAGCCCCAAAACCCCGAAGCCCGGCATTTAGGCTGTAGTTTTTTGATGACCTCGGCGGGCTGTGCTTGAGGGCTTGTGCATTGCAGCCCCTTCTCAAGAAAAATGCTTCGATGTTTTCGAGTTCGATTTTGGGGTTTAGAGGTTTGGCAGTTTGGGGATTTAGGGAAGTTAGGCTCTTGGGGATTTGGGTTAAGGCGGTTAAGGTCTGAATCATGGATGTTGGCAGAACCAGGATTTATGCAGACACCCAGCCGCAGGCTTTTGCCTGAGATACCCCTATTGTAACTGGTTTGCTTGCTGAAAAAGAGATTCGATGAAAGCGGCCATTGCTGTTGCTTTTGATGTAGATTCAGCACACAGGCCCTTGTAAACATGGCTTTCTGAGAGCAATGACTGCCATCCAACAAGTCTCATTCCTGGCGCTTGTTCATCTTGCCACGATACTATAGGGGCCTAAATAATTACCAATACAATTTTGGAGGTTCCTTATTATTGTAAGTATCCCAAAACCCTATTCTAATTATTAAGGCTCCTATGTTGGGCCCATCCCCATTAGCTGAGTAGCTGTAGTTTTTTGCTTCTTATTATCAGGTGATCATGCCGAGTACTGCATTCTGGTTTGCAAGTTGGGCGGAATGCGCGGTAAGCCATAGGCGCACGGACGAGATGGCTTTTGTTTGCAAGGCTCCAAGTGTTGTATTCCCCCGTGACAAAATGTACCCAATCAGGAAGATTGAACGATTTGCCCCAATTACCACTAGCAAGGCCGAAAGCGTTGAGTTGGTAACCTCCAACCCTTCCGAACTGCAGAAGAGCCCCAGGCTCAGCAGCCAGCCACAGCAAGGGGCAAGCTCCAGGCCGCCCGTAACCCAAGCAGTGCTTCGGGCTTTTCATGCGGCTTGCACTCAAGGATCTCCCGATGCCGTGAGACATGCTGGATGCAGTTGACATCGGCCTTGCTCCGTGCAGGGACATTAATGCAATTCCGACGAGCGCACTCATGACGATGTTGCTGATGATGAAGAAGATGCTGGTGATGGAAGCAGGATTATGATGATGAGGGTTCTGGTGGCAGTGATGATGGCGGCATTCAGAATGCTATATATCAAGGAATCAGGATGGCAGCCGCGAGAGCAGGGTAATGGAGTCGTTGATGGTGGTCTATTCACGGTGCGGGGTATGTGAGGCGTCGATTGCGTTGGCTGACGAAGCTGGTGACGTTGCTGGTATCAAGCAGCTTCTTGCGAAAGCATCGCGGGCCAATTGCTGACGGGAACTTCTCCGAACTTCATGCCTAGGTGACTCCTGGTCCCCTGAAGGGACAACAGGTTTAGGACAGCGCTCTCATGCTTTGCGAACACCTTAAAATCCTTGCCAGAGTCCCTGCAGAACTTCTAGTACTCAGGACAACTCGCTCGAAGTTTGAATAGTCTGCTCAGTACTTCATCATCTCATCAATGCAGGAAGCATCCTGCGTCCGGATGCTAACGGTTGGGCCGCGGATGATACAAAACCCAACTATATGAAAGCAGGTCCGGAGCATCCTGTGCGCGAAGACTGAAACGGGATGTACAGCCAGGACTGTACGCTGTCCTTTGCTGCGGAAGCCTTTGACAATACGACCGCTTCTGCACCACTTGCAGAGGGTGGTGATGATGGCATGGGGCCGAGTCCTTTCGCATGTTTCTGCCATTGCTTATTGGAGTTGAGTGGTCCTTCACCGGGCATACACACACACACATATATATATATATATATATACACATATGTATATGTTCTTATTGATATGCACATGTGCATATGTTTATACATACACACATACATGTACGCACGTATATGTATGTATATATATATATACATATGTACATGCATATGAGCCCTCATGTTCTTTCTAGCATGATCAGCTCTTCAGGGCTGTCATGAGCCCTCCAACGAGACTCTTCCAGAGCTTCTTAGTGTGTAGAGGTGGACATCCCAAGTTTCTTAGATTTGTGGGGTGCAGGATTTTGGGTCAGGGGTTTAGGGCTTAATTAAATGAATTGTGCGCAGCCGCAAGCGAGGCAGTTGACTCCCAGTTTCCTGGGCTTGCTGTAGGGGTAAGTGCGGTCGTTGCATTCTCACGGCCAAGATGGCTTGGTGGACTAGCAACACCTTCGGCCACCGGGCAGCTCCCATCCTAACCAGACGACTTCCCGCGCCGTCGGATGCTGCCGTCTCTCCGCATTTTTGGAGTTGGCAACATACCATCCTGAGCTCGGGCTCTTCAAGGGGATCAAGCAATGAGAAGCCATTGAGAGTTTATGCCTGACACGTAGGAACAGACTATCCTCTGTGACCAACAGCTAGGGGCTTCTGTTCTCAAACAGGCGGCCGGAATCCGAATTTCGAATCCCCTTTCCTCCTGAAAGCCTCCGAAGCCTTGTCGCGACGAGGCTTAGAGTTGCTCCATGTTCCGATCCCTGCTTCGCTGGGTCAGGGCCTTAGAAGCTTTGGGTGCTCCGAATTTGGGGATGGTTTCAGCGGTCTTTTGTGCCGATGTAGATGGTGATGATCTGCTTGTTCTTTGGCGTGACCTGCGCCGTTTCAGGTTCCTTTTACTTCTTGGAGGTTCTAGGGCACTTGGAGAAAAGGCTGCGGGAAAAGGAAGGATGGCCCAGAGGATGCCAGAAGTTGTTACTGGCTTAGGAAAACCAGCTCCCTACATACGCACCTGTAAGGCCTGTAAGGTGTCGGATATATGGCTTTGCGTCTCCGGGTATCACGGTTGCTCAAGAGTCTCGCTTAGTGTTCAGGAGTTTCATTTTCCACAGAGCAAGAGAACTCTGCAGGCACTGACATCGTGGGTGGTCTAGCTTAGAAACAAAGAATGTTTGCAGATGCCGGTTATACAAGTCTTACGACGGTCTAGCTACAGTCAACGATTCAACAATCAGGCTTTCTTTGACGGCCGTTGTCCAGGTCCTTCCACCTTAAACCCTGGACCCGAAACTCTCTAATCCGGCCCCCGCACTCCCTTTGATCATCCCATGAAGCTGGAAAGATGCTGGGAAAATCAGCTTGGCACGCACAATTCGAGAAGCATAGCGAGCCAAAGCCGGCCTTCGGCCGAAAACCATAACCTCGCCTTGAAGTCCGCACTTCCTAAGAAAGACCCTATTACGGCCCCAAATTCTAGTGCTCTCATAGATCCCTGCTAGCAGCCCCTATATTTATTATACTACCCTCATAAATCCCTTATACTAGCCTCTATAGGCCCCTTTACGGGAACCCTATCTGATGCTCTTCTGTGCTGGGAGGACCGGAGGACTTGCTTCAGGTGAAAACACCAGCATGGACCTGAGCAATCGCTGGGGGCATGGCGGAATGGATCCACAAGGGCATAGTTTGTTTTGAAAAGCAAAGGTTTCTTTCTTTTAATGTTTACAAAGCTGCAGAATCAAGTCCAGAGCTTCAGGTTTTTAGGTTTCAAGCATCCGGCTTCAGTGCTTTTGCGGTTGAAAGATGTTGAAAGTGTAGGGTGCGATGGGTGCGGGTTGTGTGCAAGGTTCGAAGGCAGGAGCAACCAGCACATGGGAGAGAGATCCAGCTACTGTAGTCCTGTAGGAGACCCCTACAGAGTCATCTACATAATGACCACGAATTACACAGGACCTAACAACTCCTGGCTGCACCTAGCTTCGACGTGTACTTGTGATTGTTTGCCGTGCTTGAGTGCTTGAGTTACTTTGCAATCGAAATACCTGTATCGCGAGCACACATAAAGGAGTGAGTGCCTGGAGGGAAGTGTTGGCCTGAAGTGACAGGATGAGAAAATCATCGTCATCAGCATCCCGTGGGGCCTAGCGCCCGGTGCGACGCTGCAGCTCTGGTGGGATCAGGCGGCAGAAGCCTGACATAAGGGAAGCGGGCGATGATTAGGCGACTACAAGCAGCCGCAGGACCGTAGCACCAGCCCCACCTGCCCAGTCGCACATGCAGACTTAAGAGCACCTCTTCAACTCGACCAATCGACCAAGCTGCAGCAGCAACGGCGACCGCCGCCGCCAGCACCGCCGCCAACACCAGGAGCACCACCACCACCACCACCACCACCACCACCACCACCACCACCACCACCACCACCACCACCACCACCACCACCACCACCACCACCACCACCACCAAAATACCACAACAACACCACCAGCAACAACGGCAACATCACCAGCAACAAGGGCAACAGCAGCGACGACGACAACAGCAACAGCAACAACAGCAGCAGCAACAGCAGCAATATTATCACCAGCAGCAGCATGTTACGAAGCGTCAGCGGCAGCAACAGCAGCAGCAAAAGCAGCAGCAGCAGCAGCAGCAGCAGCAGCAGCAGCAGCAGCAGCGCCAGAAGCAGCAGTAGCAGGGACAAGCAACGACAGCAGCAAGAGCAACAGCAAGATTAACCACTTCACCAACAACGGCAGCAACAGCATGCAACTGCCATGCACTACATCAGCCACAACACCAGCAACAGTATCAGGAACTCGTCTGACAAGCTAGCCGCATCCGAAGTCTTGGAACACATGGTCGCACATCCACATCTGGAGTTCCAGTCTCGTTGATAGTGCCTTCCCGAACTTCAGCAGTTCCAGTATCAGCTGTCAATCTCCTCAAACCAGGCCCACTATCAAGCCCAAGAAGGCTCTATTGATGCCGCTTCGAGTGGTGACGTCAACTTGACCTTGCGCTGAACCCCCGCCGTTCATCGACAGCTTGTCAATGTCATCACAGCTTATCCTTCTTCAGTGGAGTGTTCTGCTCGGTTCCGACCTTCTAGGTGGACATGCAAAAAAACCCGAGCGAACCCTACAAGCATGTACTGTAAGAAAAGTCCCGTGTGGATCAGCTTCTGACGGGCCAATCGCAGGAACTAAGGTATGAAAAAATGTAGACAAAAGTTAATCGGTAAGTCAACTCATTATATCCGGAACCCTAGGACATGCTGTTACATGCTACCTTGCGGATACTTATGTTGCCTCGGCTGGCTGATTGGACAGGCGGCTGGTACACTTGGAGTCCACCACCGGTGCGCCCGGACACCTTATCATTGTCAACGGGCCTTGTGGAAGGTTTGAAGAGGTGTGATCTTACGTAGTTGACTGGGCATCTTCCTGAAGGGTTGCTTTGAGAAAAGCGCATCATGTAGGAGAACGAAATCGACGGTTGACACTCGCAGGGTTTATCGAGCCTGTTCGTACAACATCTCCACTGCCTACAATGCAACTTGATGACTGCAGTTCATACAACTCAAGAAGTGTCGCGATACCTGCCGCTTGCATGTAGGTGCTTGTCAAGGCTTGTTGGCTGGAGTGCTATGCAAAGGAACCCATGTGCAAAGCCGTGTCTATGCGCAAACGCCGTACCGAGTTGACAGAGACGCTGGACACCAGACGGACACAATTGTGCAGTCTCTCGCAGGGATTTTCAGAGCAGCAGGAAACATGTTGTGTGAAGATGCGTGAAGCGTTTAGGAAACCTTGTCACGTTGCAGCGTCGGTGCGCAGGCGATACTAGCAGTTGAGTGCATTCGAGGCCTTGGTCTTTCCGTGAACTTTTATGGCGGCCCTCTAGAGTCCAGAGGCTCCGAGCACCCGAAGTCTCAGCAGCCAGCACGACGTCTCCTAGTTAGCTCTCGCTCGCATCATCCTGATGTCAACGCGTGTTCTTAAGCCAGCGCTGAAGCTTTAAAGATGCCTTCGAACTACCAAAGGCCAGACGATCTCAGAGCGGAAACACCAACTGCCACAGCCCGGAAAGCACAAACGAAAATCGAGCCACATAAGCCAAGCCCCTGATTCCATTACCCATTAGAAACAGACTTACCCTGCAATGCGGGCTTTGTCCTTGCTAGGTAGGAAGGAAAAAATTACCCGTTAGAAAAAGGACGGATCTCCACGTGCAGACCGTCGCAGGCAAGACTGGCAAGCACTGCGAGTGCAGAAGTGATCGTCACCATCTGCAACCTTCGGCTGGCGAGCCCAAAAGGGCAGCTCTAGAGGCCTGCGTTGCCTGTACCCCCAATGCAGAGGATACACGTGGACACAGGCCTACCGCAAAGACAGGAGACTGTGTCATGGGAGTCGTGGGCGATTCAAAGCCGCACGGCCAAGGGGAATTGGCATTGTGTAGAGCGTGAATAATGCAGCTACATGTCTGTACTTTCTTGTTCCAGGCTTTAGCTTGGAAACCTTGCGCAGCAGTCGAACACAAAACGCGGCAGAGCGTGTATACTGTACCTTCGAATGGTTTTCTCCAGGGTCGTAGCAGCTTGAGGCAGTTATTGCGAAGCCCACAGTGTAGACTCAAGAAAACTCGCCCAGCTTAGAGCATGAAGCCGGCTCGATTACTACCCTCAGGTGTGCCGCGTGTCGAGAATTTCGTCAAGTTTATCGTGTAGTTGAAGCCACCAGAACACAGACAAGTCATCCTCTGTTCATATTCAGCGAAGCGCCTGTGGATTGCACGGCACTTCCAATCTATGATCTTGCAGTGCCGGCTCAGTGTCAGCGCAGCTCCAGACGTCAGTAGCCATTTCTGGCGTTGTTTGAAGATGCCGCGGCTCGGATAGTCCACGGTGCTACATGATTTCCACTATACTTCTTCTGCCAGTGCTGCATCGCGAGGTGGTACTTTCAGTGGTAGTCGTCGTCGTAGCAGCAGCACCAGCTAGGAGGAGGAGTAGCAGTAGCAATAACAGTAGGAGTAGGAGTAGCAGTAGGTGTACCCATATGCTCCGATATAGGTTCAAATCAATCGATCTATTGATTTTTAAGTCTTTTCAATCTTCTATTGAAAACAGACTTTTCGAGCTGAAAATCAATATCGGGAAAATGAGGATCTATTGATTTTAACCCACTTCCGCGATTGATTTTTCTATTGGTTCCACGCTTGATTTTTCTATTGATTTTTATGCTAGCCAAGAAAATTTCTATTGATTTTACAGGCGACCAAAAATGTCCTCTATATATATATATATGTATATATATATATATATATGTATATATATATATGGCAGGTTTATAAGAGCCTGGAAAGGCAGGATGTTATTGTTCTGTCTGGAGAGACAAGAAATCTATAGATTCGGTGCCTGGAAAGGCAGGATGTTATTGTTCTGTCTGGAGAGACAAGAAATCTATAGATTCGGTGCCTGGAAAGGCAGGATGTTATTGTTCTGTCTGGAGAGACAAGAAATCTATAGATTCGCCTGGAAAGGCAGGGTGTTATTGTTCTGTCTGGAAAGACAAGAAATCTATAGATTCGGTGCCTGGAAAGGCAGAATCAGGATGCAGTGTTTGGAGAAGATGTGAGCTACATGTGTGAAATATATGTATTAGTATAGGCTCAAGCTCTAGCACCTCGGCACGAAAGCTCGCCATGGAGACTCCTCCGAGGAACAAGAAGCGAGGAGCACAGGAGCTCGAGACGCCCCCTGCTGCCGAGAGAAAGAAGGCCAGGGCTCGAGCTTTGCAGATCGCGAATCTGCGAACTTTCGTGCAGTTCGCAACGGACTTGGCCGCCGTGCTGTCGCAGCTGGCACCGCCGATCCAGAACCCGGACGAGATGGAGACCGACGTGGAGGCTGAAACCGAGGTGATGGGAGGCCTGGATGTGCTGGACCAGAACGAAGAGCCGGAGAACAGCCAAGAGCCAGAGAACAGCCAGTGAGGGTGCAGAGCTTTGAAAGTTTTGTTGTCTAGAAGCAATCGGGTGCCAAGAGAGCATCGATGCATGGTGATAGAAGCTCAAATGTAAAAACATTATTTGCACGTGTCGTGCAGCTGTGTGGCTTTCGTGTCTGGAAAGGATCAGTATGTTGACGACAGAAAGAATGTCTGGACAGACACGAGTTGCACAGCAATGAAAGCATGTAAATGGACCCTGCAAGTTTTTGAAGCTTCGAGAAAAGTAGAGTAGAGGCGCCCTCTACACTTTAGAACCTATAGGACTTCTGAGCCATGGGCAAGGGAGGCGCCAGAAGACCGGCGACCCCGGACACCGACCTGGAGCACCTCTACGACAAGCTGGCGAAGCTCGTGAGGGAGCAGGAGCACCTGAGCTTCCACGGGTACCAGACACTGCGGCGAACCCAGGCATGCAGTGGTGCAGACATGGCCCAGCTGGAGAGCCTGCTCGATGCCTTGGTGAACTGCCAGCCGCTCTTGATCTTCAAGTACGCAGATCTCAAGGCCACGTACCAGAAGCTCCTCCAGAACTTCCCGGCACTGAAGAGCTCGCACCCTGTGGCAGTGGGGCCGCACTTGGCTGGGAAGTACGCCGACTGGACCATGACGCTTTGCAGCCATGCCAGGAGGTTGCGAGATGAGAAGCGGTTCCAGGAGGCCTCGAAGAACTTGACTAACTCGCAGGTGCACAAGCTGACGTCGATCAAGCAGATGATAGAAAACGGTGCCCTCGAGTACGGCGAGTACGAGGACAAGAAGTACACCGTGAAGTCTGGCAACAAGAAGCTGAAGAAGGTCAAGAAGGTCTTGAAGAAAGAGAAAGCAAAACAGCGAGCACAGGGATCCTCAGAGGACACGAAGGTGAAGAAGGTGAAGAAGGTGAAGAAGGCGAAGGCCACATCTTCGGATGAGGAGACTCTGCAGAAGCTTGCTGCTGCAGCGGACATGGCCTCGGACGACAGCATGGACACAGCGGAGCTCCTGGACTTGGAGGTGCCGCTCACCCCGAAGAAGGACAAGAAGAAGGACAAGCTCAGAGAAGAGGCAGAAGCTGTGTCGCCTATCCCTTCGAGAAAGAAAAGTATCAAAACGCTGGTGAAGCAGGACAAAAAGAAGTGCAAAGACGAGACGGAGGAGAAGGCAAAGCAGAAAGAAAAGAAAGTCTTGAAAAAGCCCGC